TGGAAGACATGATTCTATACCTAGAAGACCCAAAAGGGTCTACAAAGAAACTACTAGAGCTAATAAATGAATTCAGCAAAGTGGCAGGATATAAAATCAACACGCATAAATCAAAGGCATTTCTGTATATCAGTGACAAAACTTCTGAAACAGAAATGAGGAAAAACACCCCATTCACAATATCCTCAAAAAAATAAAATACTTGGGAATCAACCTAACAAAAGAGGTGAAAGACTTATACAATGAAAACTACAGAACCCTAAAGAGAGAAATAGAAGAAGATCTTAGAAGATGGAAAAATATACCCTGTTCATGGAGAGGCAGAACTAACATCATCAAAATGGCGATATTACCAAAAGTTCTCTATAGGTTTAATGCAATGCCAATCAAAATGCCAATGGCATTTCTTGTAGAAATAGAGAAAGCAATCATGAAATTCATATGGAAAAATAAAAGACCCAGAATAGCGAAAGCAACTCTAAGCAGGAAGTGTGAATCAGGCGGCATAGCGATATCAGATTTCAAACTATACTACAGAGCAATAGTAACAAAAACAGCATGGTACTGGTACCAAAACAGGCGGGTGGACCAATGGTACAGAATAGAGGACACAGAGACTAATCCACAAAGTTACAACTATCTTATATTTGATAAAGGGGCTAAAAGCATGCAATGGAGGAAGGATAGCATCTTCAACAAATGGTGCTGGGAAAATTGGAAATCCATATGCAACAAAATGAAACTGAATCCCCTTCTCTCGCCATGCACAAAAGTTAACTCAAAGTGGATCAAGGAGCTTGATATCAAATCAGAGACTCTGCGTCTGATAGAAGAAAAAGTTGGCTCTGATCTACATATTGTGGGGTCGGGCTCCAAATTCCTTTATAGGACACCCATAGCACAAGAGTTAATAACAAGAATCAACAAATGGGACTTACTCAAACTAAAAAGTTTTTTTTTTTCAGCAAGAGAAACAATAAGAGAGGTAAATAGGGAGCCTACATCCTGGGAACAAATTTTTACTCCTCACACTTCAGATAGAGCCCTAATATCCAGAGTATACAAAGAACTCAAAAAATTAGACACTAAGATAACAAATAACCCAATCAACAAATGGGCCAAGGACCTGAACAGACACTTCTCAGAGGAGGACATACAATCAATCAACAAGTACATGAAAAAATGCTCACCATCTCTAGCAGTCAGAGAAACGCAAATAAAAACCACCCTAAGATACCATCTCACTCCAGTAAGATTGGCAGCCATTATGAAGTCAAACAACAACAAGTGCTGGCGAGGATGTGGCGAAAAGGGTACACTTGTACATTGCTGGTGGGACTGCAAACTGGTGCGGCCAATTTGGAAAGCAGTATGGAGATTCCTGGGAAAGCTGGGAATGGAACCACGATTTGTCCCAGCTATTGCCCTTCTCAGACTATTCCCTGAAGGCCTTAAAAGAGCGTACTACAGGGATACTGCCACATCGATGTTCATAGCAGCACAATTCACAATTGCTAGACTGTGGAACCAACCCAGATGCCCTTCAATAGATGAATGGATAAAAAATGTGGCATTTATACACCATGGAGCATTACGCAGCACTAAAAAATGACAAAATCATGGAATTTGCAGGGAAATGGATGGCACTAGAGCAGATTATGCTAAGTGAAGCTAGCCAATCCCTAAAAAACAAATGCCAAATGTCTTCTTTGATATAATGAGAGCAACTAAGAACAGAGCAGGGAGGAAGAGCAGGAAGAAAAGATTAACATTAAACAGAGACATGAGGTGGAAGGGAAAGGGAGAGAAAAGGGAAACTGCATGGTAATGGAGGGAGACCCTCATTGTACAAAATTACATATAAGAGGTTGTGAGGGGAATGGGAAAAAAACAAGGAGTGAAATGAATTACAGTAGATGGGGTAGAGAGAGAAGATGGGAGGGGAGGGGAGGGGGGATAGTTGAGGATAGGAAAGGTAGCAGAATACAACAGTTACTAATAGGGCATTATGTAAAAATGTGGATGTGTAACCGATGTGATTCTGCAATCTGTATTTGGGGTAAAATTGGGAGTTCATAACCAACCTGAATCTAATGCATGAAATATGATGTGTCAAGAGCTTTGTAATGTTTTGAACAACCAATAAAAAAAACAAAAACAAAAACAAACAAAAAAAAGAATGCTGTGAAATGATCAAGTTCAGTCAAAAGCATGTATTGGATTTAAAAAATAATAATATCGGAAAGGCCATGAGGGACAGTTCCTTCTCTGGGAACTCTCAGTAATTAATGTGAATTAATGACAAATTATTGTAGTATCATGTGATTTTACATAGAATGTTTTTACTTCCTAATAACTTAGTTAGATACATGAAGTTATCAATCTAATCTGTTCTTTTCATGTTGGTTTGAAATGATATTTAAAGAATAATTTACTGTTCTCAATATTTTTTTTTTACCAATTTTTAAAGTTCATACCATAATTAAATAGCTATTGCTCAATAAATACTCAGGATTCTACCTAATTAAACAAAAAAGTACATTTGTCCATCCAAGTTTAAAATAACTGAAGTTCATTTAAAAGTTTTTTTTTTATATTAGGTAAAGATATATACATATATAAACATTGCATTGTTATTTTTATACATATTTCTATGAATGTCTGTAAGCATCCATTAGTTCTCTTTTATTATTTCTCTCTTTTCTGTTTCTTTTATTTGTTTTTATGTGGTGCTGAGGATCAAACCCAGGGCCTCATACGTGCTAGGCGAGTGCTCTACCACTGAGCCCCAGCCTCAGCCCCTCTTTTCTATTTTTTCTTAATGTCAATTATCTCATGCTGTTGCTTCTGGCTCATCTTCCTTTTGTTAGATTTATCCAGTTTGACCTATAAAATTGTATTTCATATTTTTGCCAATCATTGTAATTAATTTTCCAATAGCCTTTTCTCTTTATCTCTTAAAATTAAAAAGACATGGGGCTGGGATTGTGGCTCAGCAGAAGAGCATTCACCTAGCATGTGTGAGACCCTGTGTTCAATCCTCAGCAGCATATAAATATGAATATATAATATAAAGGGAAAAATTAAACAGACAAAAAAAAAAGTCACACTATCCCATATTTTGAAGAGATGGGCCTGGTATCAAAAGGAGACGAATGCAAATAGTAACTAATACCCAACAATGTTAATTGAAAAGATATCTGCCTAAAATGTGGTGGTTACTCAAAATAAATGAATTCTCCAGAACACTAGGTGATAGAATCTCTAATGCTTAAGCTGGAGTTGCTCTATGTCAGCAGTTCTCACGGTGTGGTCTGAGGAATACTTAGGGAACCCAAGCTTCAGTAAGGGCAAAATTATTTTGATAATAATGAAATAACATTTTACTCTTAAAAATGTACAGTGGAATTTCCTAAAAGCTATATGACTCAACAGATTAAACTCAAAAGCAGATAAGGGAATCCAGGTGCCTTGGATTAAGTGAGACATGAAAAAAGACATTGAAGTCAGACATTAAAACAGACATTAAGATTTGCAAATGAAACAATGCTCTTCTCGTGTTTCTTATTTTAAAAATGTAGTCATTTTTCATAAAAACTACATTAACATAGGAAGGTTTATTACTGTTATTTAAAAGTAAATACATGTTCAAAGAGTCTCAATTTTTAATATTGGAAATATTCACAGCTCTTTCTCTCCTAAGCAAAAGCTCTTTGGGAATCTGCAAGAAATATTAAATTTGTAAAGAGATCTGACTCAAAGAAGTTTGAGAATAATTCACAGCCAACCATGGGCACCCAGTGAAGAGGTCTTTAAAAGGCTATCACCTCTGATCATGCAGAATGCTACAGAATGAAGATGACTACGTGAAAGGATTTTGAAAATGGCCCTTACAATCATCATTACTGTGTTCACTAGAGTAAATAGCAGGATGGATAGTAAGCCTTAAAAGCACTTTTTTCTTTGCTTTTCAATATACAACGTGATCAAAATAATATCATTCCTTTAACAGATTTCCAGATCAATAAATAATAAATAGACAGATAGATACATAAATAGCAAAGCTGGTTCTCATCTGGCAGAGAAAACTTTAGCCATTACAGCCATTACAAATTTATACAGGGATTCCTTCTGATCATCCAAGTGGGAAGAGAATACTAGATTTTTTTCCCCCAGGAAAAAAAGGAAAGGAGTAAAAGACTTTACTTTCCATCCCCGCCACCCCACAGGCTCCAGAAGATGGGAGAATATTCCAAATGGACAGAGCAGCAACCTCAGGATGTACACTGTGAAGTCCAGCCAGAGGAGTACATAGTGCAGTAAGCCCATTTGTTTGTTTGTTATTTGTTTGGTCCTGGGGATTGAACTCAGGGGCACTTGGCCACTGAGCCTCTATCCTCATCTCCCCCCACCCTTTTTTTTTTTTTTTTTTTTTTTGGAGACAGGGTCTCACCGAGTTGCTTAGCACGCCACTTTAGCTGAGGCTGGCTTTGAACTTGCAATCATCCTGCGCCAGCCTCCTGAGCCACTGGGATTACAGGGGTGTGCTACTGCGCCTGGCTCCATTTGTTTTTTAAAAAAAGTGCATGTATACACACACACACATATGTATATATTTAATATATATATGAATATCTGCAAAATATGTAGAATATGGTCTATCATCAAGAACATCAGTACATAACTAAAATCAGTAAATGAATATTTACTCAGAAACCTAAATAGATATCTCCAAGGTAATCAATTTTGAAAATACGGCTTAAAAATAAAGCCATTTGGATCACAATTTTTTTTTTTCACCATTTACCCTTCTTGACTGACATCATCAGCCACACTCCATCCCCAAGGGGGTGCCTTGGAAATCCCCAGTCTAAAAAGGCTCTGCTGTTCTGATGCTTAACTGAGCTTTGCCAACGCCCACTGACCATACTTCTTAGCAAAAGCATTACTTTATACACCAACCAAAGGACTCAAGGACATTTTTAAAAGTACCTCAGCACTTGCTCATCACAGAATGATTTCAGATCATCAAACTGTTTCCCCCAAAATTCCTAAAATTGAACAAAAGATTTATGTAAGTAGCTAACACTTTTTCCTCCACAGAAGAGATACTCCTCAGTCACCGAGAGAGTTCCGAACAAGAACAACTTACCAAAATATCCTTCTCAAGGTGTTTTAGAGCCTGAATATCCTTCTCAAGATTGCTCAACTCTTGGAGAACAAAATCGTGAAAGTGCTGTAGCTTATTGAGTCTGATAAGCATAAAAGCAACACATTTCATGGGGTTTCTGGAGTGTGACGAATGATATCTCACCAGATCTTTATTAAGAACATGGAAGAGGCTCCCTTCTCCTCCTCCTCTTCATGCCTGCTCATCCCCAATCTCCAAACCCCCAACATGCAAACTCCTGGTTCATCTTTCAACAGCATCCGGGAAGCTGGTGTTTCCTTATCATTCTTAGGAGAGCACAGGACAGATGTCTCCAGGGAAGAGAAAAGACTAAGGGCTCTCCATTCCTTCTGCCTTCCACTTGCTGTCCTTTCTCTATCTGGTCTTAAACTGGCCCTGAAAGCTGTGGTCAGGAATGGGCTCATGACACCATCTTTCCACCTCTGTTTTAGTTCTAGAATTTCTAACAGTTGCCGTTCTGACATATAGATTCCTTATCTGTTTGCTTTTGCGTGTGTGTGTGTCTGTGTGTCTCTGTGTGTCTGTCTCTCTCTCTCTCCTCTGTTAAGGTGAACATTCCACGAAGAGAAGATTTCCTAGAGCTTGCTGCTATAGTTTGGATGTGGAATGTCCCCAAAAGGCACCCCCGTGTTAAAGAACTGGTTCCCAAACTGGTGCTATTGGGAGGCGGTGGAAGGTTTAAGAAGTGCTGTCCAGCTAGGTCACTGGGAGCATGCCCTTAACCCTTGACAAGGACTGTGGGACCCCAGCTCCTTCCCCCCTCTCTCCCCCTCCCTCTCTCTCATGTTTCAGTCATGAAATGAGCAGATTTTCTCTGCCATATGCTTCCAGCATGACTGCTGCCTGGTCACAGGCCCAAAGCAACAGAGCCAACTGATCAAGAATTGAAGCCTCCAAAACCGTGAGCCCAAACAAACTTTTCCTTATAAGTTGATTATCTCAGGCGTTTGTCACAGTCAGAAAGCTAACGCTGGTGCTCGTAGCTCTCCTGTGCTGAGCAAGGAGCCTGGTACCCAGAGTCACTCAATGTGCACCTGTTCAATGACTATGTGGCTGACCGTGAGCCCCCGGAGCATAACAGGAGCTCCACAAATCCAAAGTCCTTCCCGGGCTTGTTTGGACAAGTAAACGACATTGCATGTATGTAAGAGTTGGAAAAAATATTACAAATGTCTATTTAAAGTATTCTACCCTAAGAAACTTTCTACTTTAGCAAACTGACTCTCCATCCCTTTCTTCCCTTCCTCATCTGCAGCCCATTCTTTCTAATAAGGCACAATTTCTATACTCACCTCCCCTGCACCACTCAAATCTTTGTTTCCAAAGCCCACTCAAGAAGCACTTCCTTTGAGAATGTTCTGAATTCACTCTGATCGATACAGAATTTCATCCCTCCATTCCCCTTCCCACCCCTCTGAGACTTGGGTGTCTTGGTGCTTCTTGCTCCATGATCACAAGGGGGAACAGGTGTGTGAGTGTGAGTGCATGGATGAGCAGCATTTTCTTATCTGATTAATATACATAACATCAAATTTGCTTTTAGCCATCTTTCACTGTGCAGTTCAGTGGCATTAAGTTCATCACACAATGTTCGACAACCACCACCATCATCCATTTGCAAAATTTTTCCATCATACCGAACAGAAACTCTGCACCTATTAAATAGTAACTGCCACTTCTCTCAACTTTGGAGACCTCCAACGTACCTTCTATGTCTATGGATTTCCATTCATACTCTTGTAGTTACCTCCTCTAAGGAGAATAATGCAGTACCTCTTGTGCCTGGATTCTTTCTCTTAGCACGTTTTCTAGGTTTATCTGTGTCACAGCATGTGTTAGAATTTTAATTCCCTTTTAAGGTTAAATTAACATTCTACTGCATGTCTGTACAATTCATCTACCCAGTATTTTTCACACGTATATCCATGCTTACCCTGTCTTCACACATGGATTTGAAAATTCTTAAGAACAATATTTTGGGATCATATAATGGTAGACAATGAAAGGCTCAAGGAGGATATTTAGTTCATCTTATGGATGCAAAACCAGATACCTGGAGGGGTTGAAGCATGTATCAAACTCACTTCTGGCTCAGGCTGCAACTCCTCAGGCCCCCGTACAGCAGTCATGAGATAAATATTGTTTGTGAATAATCACATTTCCATGAATTGCTTTGAAATTCAATACTTACTTGCAGAAGTGTATCAGGTTTAAAAGTTTTATTATGCAATTCGGTGTTTTCTTTGCCTTTTCTGAAAGAGGACTCTCACTGTACCTGAACTAAACCATAACAACAAAAACAAAATCATCAATTTGAATTAAACATAACTATATAAGTGTAGTGTGTGCTTTGCATTAAAAAGATTCTGCCTGAACATTATAATATCCATAGTAAACATACTGCCGAGGAACAGTGATGGGGCGCTATTCTGCATACCTTTCAGGAATTATCTCAAGCTTGGTACTAACAAAGAAAAATCAGAAAGCACATATTCATGTTGAATACTAAAAGCATATTTTCATTATAAATTTTCTTGCATTGATATTGCTAATAGTAAGACTTTGGAAGCCTTCCATCTTAGTTAAATGAATGTTGGTTTTTAATCTTGCGGACCAGGCTGTGGGACAGGTTGTAGGTACAGCATCTCAAAGGTCTGCTACCAAGTCTACCTTCAACTCTGTCTCAGAGTCCTCTCCTCCATATGGTCACCCTCTGCCCCTATCTCTGACTATCATCTTGGGTCCAAGTCATTGCTTTCTGAGAGTTCATTTGTCTGAGAAAGCATACAGTGGAACCCAACCATTAGTCTGATGTCCACATATTTAGTCCCGTTGGAGCATATGGACATGGAAGAGCTAGCTATAAATACAAACCGCAAAAATCAGCGACCACAGCTAAGACAAATACACCTCCCCAAAGACTCAGGAGCACCTTCACATATGAAGAATAACAACAGTATTGATGAATATTATATATATGTTACTTTAAACTCATAACAAGCTAATTTTTCTACCTTTGTCTTATTTTCAGCTTTGTTGAGCTAAAATTGACAAAATTATTTATATTCAAGGGGAACATGTGGTGTTATACATACACTGTAAAATGATCATCACAACCAACCTAATTAACATATGCATCACCTTACTGTTACCTGTGTGTGCGCACCGTGAGAACACTGGAGATCTACTCTCTTCACGAATTTCAAGTACAATTACCAACTATTTCACACCATGCTGTACACTGGGTCTCTAGAACTTACCCATCTTATAATTAAAAGTTTTGTTTCTTTGACCAACATGTCCCTCTATCCCTCATTCCCCTAACTCGTGGTAACCACCCTTCCTCCCCCTCTGCTTTTGAATTCAACCTTACTTAAATTCCATATTTGAGATCGTGCAGTATTTGTCTGGCTTATTTTCTTTTGAACAACATCCTCCAGGCTCATGAGATAGTTTTTCATTTTTGGCGGATGATTACCTCGTATTTTCTTTTCATTTCTCCAGTGAAGTTTTCCAAGGCTGTGACAATGGCAGAAACATTCAAGTTCTCAGGCGCATATTCCAGAGATGGAGTAGAAATGCCTAACAACAAAAAAAATAATAATAAAATTAACAAATGCTCAAAGGAGATAAGCTTGGTCCAACAGCTTCCCAGAGGATGGAAGAGCGTGTGAGAACCACAGGTAGGAACCACCGATGCCCCACTGCCTGTAACAGTGCACTCGGTGACTCTGGCCATGACTGTACAAGGTCAGCAGGAGCCTCATGCTGCCTCTGACCAAGTGACCTCTCTCTCTGGCATGAGCTTATTTCAACCACACTCTCTTAGTGCATCACTGTTCCATATAACAGATGGATTCATTTTGACCTAACCATACATTCATGGAATATGATGGGCTCCATTTTGGTAGAGTACTTCCTCTTTCCCTTCTCTCCTTCCCTCCCCTGTCCCCCCTTCCTCTACTCCACGGGTCTTCCATTTATGTTTTCTAAATGGGTGCTTTACAGATATAAAGGTGGAATTCTCTGCGGTATGTTCATATATGTACATAGCATAATTTGGTCAATTCCATCCTGAAATTCCTCCCTTTTCCCATCCCTACTCCCTCCCCCTCCTTCTCTCACTCTCTCCCTCCTCCAGGTCCACTAATCTCCCTTCTGAGTTCCGGGATCCCCTTCCCATCTTTCCCTTTATTTTCATATAGCTTCCACACATGAGAGAACACATTTAACCCTTGACAGAGTCTGGCTTACTTCATTCAGCATTATGTTCCCCAGTTTCATCCACTTACCAGCCAATGCCATAATTCCATTCTTCTTTATGGCTGAGTAAAGCTTCATTGTGTACGTCTACTACACTGGGCTGTTTATATAACTTGGCTATTTTGAGTTGTACTTCTATAAACATTGATATGCCTATATCACTACATCATGCTGATTTTAGTTCTTTGGATAAATAACCAAGGAGTGGGACAGCTGGTTCATATGGTGGTTCCACCATTCCTAGTCTTTTGAGGAATCTCCACACTGCTTTCCCAAGTGGTGGTGTTAGTCTTCAATCCCACCAATAATGTATACCTTTTCCCACACATTTATTACTATCTGTGTTCTGGATGATTGCCATTTTAACTGGAGTGAAATGAAATCTCAATGTAGTTTTGATTTTGATAAATTCAGCAAAGCAGATAGAAGATCAAGATATGAAAATCAATACCTTTCCTATGCTCCAATAATGAATCTGCTGAGAAAGAAATCAGGAAGATAACTCCATTCACTATAACCTCAAAACAAAAAACAACTTGGGAATAAATTTAACCAAAGAAATAAAAGATCTCTATGATGAAAACTATAGAAGAATATATATATATTTTTTTTGAAGAATACTTTAGAAAATGGAAAGACCTCTCATGTTCTTGAACAGGCAGAATTAAAATGGTCAAAATGGCCATACTACCAAAAGCAATATACAGGTTCATTGTAATCCCCATTAAAATACCAAAGAAATTCTTCATAGAACTAGGGGGGAAAGTCCTAAAATTCATATAGAAGAAAAAGAAAAATCAGAATAGATTACATATTTCTAACCCCCAAAATCTAGTCAATAACTATCAGCTAAAGCAGAGGCCTAAAACTTTAGGAACCTCAGGCCCGAGATTAACTCTAGAAGAGTTAAGAGGCAGAAATAAAAATGCTAGGATGGAAGCCTGCTTGCTTCTATTGAAAATGCTAAGTTTTTAGGTGTCTGCAGCTACAGTGATCTGAAAACTATAACTTCCTTGTAATTCAGGCAGGTACACATTTCATGACCATGTATTTATTGCACTCTACTTCAACCGCTGGCTGGGTGCATGACGTTACCTGCCAAGCCGGAGGCTCCCTGAGCAGCGTCTTCTAATCTTGATTGTTTTGGCAAAGCAAAACTCCCATCTGGGACGCCTAAGGGCAAACACAGCACATTGATGACTCCACACACATCCCTTTTGTCCAAAATGTATCTTGTGCTCTTTTCTTCCGTTAATATATAACCTTGACATACAGCAAGTAAAACTCATCCCCTCCCTGCCTGTTAATCATTACTTATCATTTGGTGCACCAAATCAAATAAGCGCAGCCTAAGTAAGTATCAAAACACAGAGCCTTCTGATGCAGAGGAGGGGAACAGGCATTCCTTTGTGAGCTCGGTTACATTTATCAAAGCTCGGGCAGATTCCCTAAACAGTGTTTCTGAATAAGGCCATGACAATAAATATCAAAAACATTTCCAGGGCTCTGAGCTCAATGGCAAAGTATCTGGATTTCTAGGCAGAGGGACCTTGGGAAGTTCTTCAGATCACAACCCAGATGGCGCCACCTGCTGGTCACACTGGAGCATTGCACCGAGGCCATCTGATTGATAAGGCCATCTTGGCTGCTCACTTCTCCAGTGACTGACAGTCTCTGCTGATGAGAGCCCTACATTGCCATATAGTGCGGTGCATCACTAAATAGTTTCTATTACAATGTTCACTGGACTCTCCCAATCTTATCAATAGCACCCATTTACAGTGCATTGGCTTTATGCTCTATTTCTGATCTTCTTCACGGCTGGCTTAAACTCCATCATCAGGGCCTCGGGTCCTGCCCAAGGAATGAATACTTACTTCTATCCACATTGCTACACCATGACCTGGCCCGTGGCCATCTCCCTGGAGGATGCCATCAATCCTATGTCTTCAACCTGTCACCTCCCAAATCTCACTCTTGCATCAAACTTGTCTCTCATAGCTCACCCAGTTCTGTTCTTCTCTACTATACCCCCCTTTCTCCATTCTGTACCCTTTAGCTATGATGTTCTGACTTTTCTCCCTTTCTGCCCATATTTCACTAATTCAGCCAATGAACATTTTGTGTTACTATGTGCAAGGAGCTGTGCAAGGTGTTCAGCAGACAGTGGAGAAGCAGAGGAGCATGTATCCTCATCCTTCACTCTGCTTCTTCTACCCTGAGCCCCTTGTGGTCCCTCCTACATCTCAGGCATATTATCATCTCAAGACCTGTGCACTTGAAGTTCCTTCTGATTATCATATTTCTCCCAACTGCCTTAAGGCTCAACCTAACCACCTACCCTAAAATTTCAAGATATCTTCCACATTTTAAAACCCCTTTCCCTGCTCATTTTTTTTAATTTATTTTTTATTAGAATATACTATACCACAGGTTTAACTTCAGTACTCTCTCTCTCCCTCAACCCCACCACTAGATGCTAAGGTCCACCAAGGGCATGCTTTTTTGTCTGTTTCCTTCACTACTAGGTCCCTCACACCAAGAGAAGTACCCATCCCATAACAGATGCTCTATAAAAAAAAAAAAAACAACAAAACTACTGAATAAGTGAATGAATGCAACAGAATACACAAACTCCTATAAAAAAGATACTTTATATGTTCCAATTGGATCTCTGTAAAATATATAAGAATTTAATTCTTCTCTACTAACAGCAAGAGGAGAAACAGAAGAAACCATAAATTTTAGAAAGAAAGTTGTCCCTTGGAATCAGAGAGGAACTGCAGCAATAGACAAAATATGAACGAGGGAGTTCATGGGATAGCCAAGTTGATATTTTATAGACTTTTCATACAGTGAACATTTCATTAAAGATCACATTTCTACTCTGCAGGACATGGCAAAGAGCCAACCAATACCCAGCCTCTCAACAATGAAACAAAATACAAAGTATAACACTCTCAACTCCATTAGATACCTTATTGAAGCCAGTATCCCCATCTTCTTGTTACATTTAGATTTAGGTGTGCTCAACTGTTGCACAAGTTTGGATGGGGACCTTCTAGGGAATTACGTTGTTTTCAGGGCTAAAGGTCTTTAAAAATCAAGGACAGGACGCAGTTGCAGCTCCCACTGTTTCCACTCCCAAAGCAGAGAGCTCCTGGCTATGGCTCCTCTGTGGTGTCTAGACCCCAATTGGGGTCAGAAAAGACTCTTAGAAGGCCCCCAATTTGATAATGAACAACAACTACATTTCTTTCTTGGCTGCCTTCTCTGCCCTTCCAGGAAGTTTTCCTTGGTGGTCAATTTGTAGCAATAGCTTAAATCATGACTTTGAACTTAGATTTATCACATCCACACATCACCTAGGGTAAAGCAGGGACACTAGTTATATCCAGTGATAAGAGGAGCCTATAGGCATGGACTGATTGCCCTGGTCAGCCCCTAAAGGAGTTCCTGGGAATTTGTGAACCCACTGAGACACATCTGGATGGACCCCTAAGGGACATGGAAGTCAGTGTCAGTGGGCACATAGAACCCTTCTTCTGAAGCACAATGCGGGGGGATGTTCCTATGTGTACTGCAGGTCTGGCAGGTCCACAGATGACAGCATCCTCCAGAGAAAGCAGTGCTGTGTCATGAGAGGCTGCCAGTCCTGAGGGATGTCACCGGCTCGGCTTTGTTTCCATGGTAACTATACACCTCTTTTAGACTGCGCTGTTCACCATTCTCATAAAAGGGTTAAAACTACCTGCACACAACACCTGAGTAAACACACTGTGGCTGAATGTGAGTGGCCTCGGGTGGCTCCCTCCGTGTCTTGTCAGGGGCTGCAAGAAGGGGAGAGGCGCTTGCTCCTGCAAGAACTCAGCTTTGTGCATTTCCATGAAAGATTCTGGCCACTCAAGGAATTTCTGAAGTTAGAGTAGGTGGCCTGCTGGGCACAAGTTTTAGTGAACAGTTTGGTGGCCTTGTTGCATTTTGAAAACTCCTGCTAACAAAAAGCCGTTAGGTTCAGGCATTTAAAAATATCTTGCTCTGAAGTGACACCTTGTGGCACAGAATGACAAAGGCCAATAGCTTTCACTCAGCAATAGAGGACTTCACCAAAAACTGTCACTGTAATAGTCACAGCACTTTCTCAATGCCAATTCTTTTATTTATTCTACAGATACTTATTAATTACCAAGACTATTAAAAACTTTTGGATGGACTCGTACATTCAAAATCTGTAAATCAATTAATGGTATTTGTGACTGAGTATAAATATTTATTCAAAATCTGTAAATCAATTAACGGTATTTGTTATTGAGTATAACTATTTATTCAAAATCTGTGAATCAATTAACGGTATTTGTGACTGTGTATAAATATTTATTCAAAAATGGAAAAATGCAGAGGTTCATGATTAAGTGTGAGCATTTTCTAGCTTTCTTGCTTCTTTTCCTTGGCAAATACTGAATTCCTCTATGCCAGGCACTGGACCAGACAATCACACCTCGGAATGGCATGAAGAAGCTCCCACCTGGCTCCTGCTTGATTTCAGAGGCCTCTTAAGAAGGTAAAAGAGGGGATATTCATATCTATAAATAAAATTATCCTTTTGAACTGACAATTCTGGGGGCTTTGCATGCGTATCAAGAGTTCCAGGGTAAGGTAAACTGGACACGCTGGCACACGCCTATAATCCCAGTGGCTTAGGAGGCTGGGGCAGGAGGATCAAAAGTTCAAAGCCAGCCTCAGCAAAAGTGAGGCACTAAGCTACTCAGTGAGACCCTGTCTCTAAACACAAAATAGGGCTCAGGATGTGGCTGTGTACTGCAGGTCTGAGTGCCCCCGAGTTCAATCCTCCATACCCCCCAAAAAAGATTCCAGAGTAAACATTAACACATAACTTGATATTTGATTGAGGCTGCCATTATGAGTCAGCAGGACACTCGAAATGTCTTAGGGTCTCTGTTTTGGGGAGAGGGGTATGCTGGGGATTTAATCTAGGGCCTCACACACTCTTGGCACAAGCTACAGCCCAGCTCAAAATGCTTTTACTGAAGGAAGTTACTTGAACATCCTCTAGAGGGGGAGGTACAGCTGCTTCTGGCCACGTGGTTAAAAAATCCAGGACTGAATGCAATGATACGAAACATTTCAAGTTCTATTATATGTTTTTTGGCTATCCAAAGAAATGAATCAAAGAAACATAACCACTAGTAATGGTTTCTAAAAGGATTTAATGATTTTAGTCACTTATCTAAGACCCATACTTTAAGAGCGTTAAAAAATGCGATCATTAGGAGATGGCTTTCTAATTCCTCTATTTTCTTAGAGAATAGCACAAAATAAAGATGTCAGGAATGATGTTTGACTAGTACCAAGACCAATAAGACTGATATTCACACTAGTAGCAGGTGACAAATTGAGCACCACCACACGTCTGCACACGGAGCCTCACGTCAGCATCTCACTGAATCCTCAAACCCCGGGAAACTCTCCCTCCCACCCAGAGATGTCCTCTGCTTCTGAAGGGCCATACCCAATGGTGAGCATGAATATTTAGTTATTAATATCTGCTCCTCTCTGGCCAGCTGACCTTGAGGTCAGCCTCACCTGAGGGGCCCTCAGTGAAGATAAAAAGACAATAACTAACAGAGTGGCAGGAGTAAGTATGTTCTGCACCATGGTGACCCATGTGACTCTAGTTCACAGTAGCCTGTTACACACCTTATGCAGAATACCAAGAGGAGCTTAAAGGCTCCAAACAAAAAGTAATGATAAGGAAATAGAAATGCCAATTTTTGATCCCTGTTTGATCCGTATATGTTGTATGCATTTATTAAATTATAACATTCTACTCCATAAATATGTACCATTAATTAAAAATCACTGGGCATGGGGGAACACACCTGTAATCCCAGCTATTTGGGAGGCTGAGGCAGGAGGATCACAAGTTTGAGGCCAGCCTCGGTTAACTCAGTAAGACTCTGTGTCTAAATAAAAAAAAAAAAAAAGTGAAAAGGGCTGGGGATGTAGCTCAGTGGTAGAATTTTCCTGAGTTCAATCCCCAGCACACACTAAGTTAATAAATAAATTCAGTAAATAAAATAAAAGTCAGGTATAAACTAGATATTCATCAACTCATAAGGATTAAACGACTCAAAGTAGAAGAATGGGGGAAA